GCCTCTGGCCGCTTTAAATTTGCTTCTCTCCCGTAGGACTCTCTGTGCGTTGGGGCACTGCGCTGTGGGGAGAAAGGAGCGGGAGCCTTTTGGCGGGGATAACCTGACAAAACGTAAACAAGACGTTTTGTTGGAATGTCAAAGCATATTAAAATATCTCTGTGTGGAAAAGTATTCTCCTAGTTTTTGGATACAGGCACTATCCTGTAATTTTTTAAAACACGGTGCTTAAAAATAACACAAAGGAAGGCTTTGTAATGCAGACTAACCTGGCGTTATTAACCTCTCTAACTTGAAATATACTTTAAAAATCCTTAAAAACTTTAAAAATCCTTAAAAACTTTAAAAACTCTAAAAAAACTTTTAAAAATACTTTAAAAACTTTTAAAAATACTTTAAAAACTTTTAAAAATATGTAAAGACTGCGCTTACCTGCACACAGCTGCAAGCTGCCAGACAGCATCACAACTATAAGCTGTGCAGAATCCATGCCGTTTCACAGTAAGTTATGGAAACGGGAATAAGTGTTTATACACAAGGTATCTAATGACTTATTTCTAGAATGTTTATAGAAATGGGAAGCAGAGCAAGTTCTGTTGTGTTTTTCTTTGCTTTTAAATACAGGCTTTTTTAGAGCTGCGTAGTAATCGAGGAAAAATTACACTTTACAAAATAGTTAAAACTTTTTTCTCTCAGTAAGTCCCTTTGCTCATATTTCCTGGTATAAATATATTGATTACGGGGACAGGCTTAGGAATTTTACATGCTTGAAATAGGACCTTAGGATATAATTTATTATGCAATAAGATTATTTCATGTAACTCTGCATTAACCTTTGTATACAGATATCTCCATTCGCTGTTACTGTACCATTCACTAGACCTGATTAGGATAAAGCAGTATTAAGAACCTTGTTCCCCTTTCTTCTAAGAGACCATTTTAAACATCTCTCCTAGGATGGTTTTGATTTGGATACAAATCCTGACAGAGAGCAGACCCTCTCTCTAAATAGAGACTCTGACAAGCAGATAGACTTCTCAAAAATGTGCAATTCAAATCAAGAGTATTACTTGAAGCTAGAAGAGTTGAAGAATGCCCACTTGGAGACCATGGCAAAATTAGAAAGTATGTATCGGAATCAACTATATTTAAAAGGAGTACAACCCTTAGACAAGAAAAATGCTGCTTCTAACATGGGTTGTAGGTAAGTTTTGTGGTACCTTTTATCTGAAGATTCTCAAATGCTTTGCAGACATCAGTGAAACAGCAGGGTTTTTTTCTGGGGGTGGGAAGTGTTACTCTCCCCATTTCCTGTAAGCAGATAATCCCAAGAATTAGTTTTAATAATAAAAATGCTTGTTCATCTTGCTAACAGACTGCGAGATTTCCAAGTGTGCGTGCAGCAGAGACTGGGCAACATGTTTAGTAAAGCATGGCGCCTTTCCTTAAGAAGTGCTGACTTGTTCACAATCAGCACTTACTTAAAACTGTGATCGGGTGTGAGTGCCCAATGTGCTCCTCTTTTCCCTTCTCTTCCTGCTCTCTTCTTCCCTACCAGTGCTGCTTTTTTTTAATTTTTATGCTTTATACCCTAAAGCAGAAGGTATTGGCTTTGCAGCAATGTTGGACTGGACTCAAATCAAGCAGAAGGTATTGGCTTTGCAGCAATGTTGGACTGGACTCAAATCAACTTTTTTTTTTCTTTTTCCTTTTTTTAAAGGCCAACTTGGGAGAAGAGCCCATGTCAGCCTCTAAATTTGCACAAGTCCTTCTCAGACTCTGACTTAAGTGATCCCTCAGGCTCAATATCTAACCGTCATAATCTATCTGTCTCAATATCTAATGGGTCTGACAGAGAATTAGCGTTGGAAGAACACAGTAGTGAAACTGAATCATCTGCGTTTGCTAAGCAACGGATTGAAAAAATGTGGGACGGTTTCTCTGTGGCAGACTACATCTCGCGCACCAAACATATCTTACCAAGCTCACCAGCCTTTAGAATGATACGGAAGAAACAGAAAGCATGGTCACCAAAAGTTACAGTGCCCAAGCCTTTCCAGATGACTATCAGAGAAGCTAGAAAAAAAGAACAGAACATCAAATCAAAGTCGCAGATTGAAATGGAAAATAACTTACTGAAGAAGCAACTAGAGGAAGAAGCAGAGTGTCAGAAAAAATTCCGAGCCAATCCAGTGCCCGCTGCTGTTTTCCTTCCACTCTACCACGAAATCGTGCAACGAAACGAAGAACGCAGGAGGTCCGTGAAAGAGAGAAGCAAACTCAAACTCTTGGCTTCTCAGAAGCCATTTAAATTCATTGAACGAGAGAAGCAAAGGAATGAAATTAGAAAAATGCAATTAAGAGACCTTTCCGCACCTGAAAAGAAGACAAAACTGTTCAAAGCAAGACCAGTTCCTAAATGTGTTTATAGTCCAGCTGTTAATGACAAGCTAAAGGAAGAAGAGCTCTACAGAGAAATCAGGATCAGAATGCGAGCTGAAGACTTGCTACGTAATTCAGCTCTACCCAACAGTAGACTGGCTTTAACAAATACCAATAAAAAGAAGAAACACAAGTGCATTGAACCAAAGGAAACAGAACATAAACCTAAGATCAAATCAAACGTTCCAGATTTTGAACTACTACACCAGAAATTTCAGAAACGGCTCCTGCAACAAAAACAAGTGAAACACCTTACAGTCTGTGAACCTTTCGATCTTCGTACTCCATATATTCCCTCAAACAAGGGGAAGATTTTGAAGGACATTCAAGAGGATGAAGAAAAGCTGAAAGAAACACGCTGGCCATATGCCTCTCCAAGACGTAAGCCTCAGATGAGACATGCAAGTGCAAATCCACATCTCTCAGGATTTGGAGAATCTAAATCGCCAAAAATCACAGAATCCACAAGACGACGGCTACAAGCCATAAGGTGACTTCTGTAGTGGTGCTCTACTTATATATATATATACTTGAAGAGTAGATTTCTTTTGTATTTCTACATACGTAGTCAGTTCTTTCATGCAGGGAATATAGGACTTAATATGAGGACTTAATTATAATAGAAAACTTAAAATATTTAACTATAGGATTTAATTAGTATTTATGATTGTTAAAGAAACATAGTGCATTTTTGTCAGAACATCCATAGGAAAGGGACAAATGACTGCTGTTTCCCAGGATATGCCCGAGTCCCTTGAAATGGCACACACCTTGTATCCATTTATGCCAACCCTGTTTTCACCCTGCTTTTCTCTTTTGACTCTCCTTTGCCAAAGCTTCCTTTGCAGTCTTGCTTTTGATTTAAAATTAATTCAGCCTTAGTTTATTTTTCCACCCAGGAACTCACTTGAGGAAAAGAGAAAGCTGGAAGAACAACAAAAAAGGAACAGAACAAAGCAGAAACAAAGAACGAAAAAACTCCAGAAAATCGTAACAACTCGGGCTGAGGCCAATGACCCACATCAGAGCCTAGCTCAGATGTCTAAATCCAAATTAAAAACATTCAGGTATTTTGTTGCATTCCCCCAAATCCTGAACCTCTTACTCTACGTTGTATGTTAAACATACAATGTAAAAAACAGCATAGTCTAGGTTTTCATAATTACGCATTTGATAAATTATACACTGTAAAAGCAGCTAGTAGAAAAGAGTGGCCAAGTCTACTATTTCAACTGCGAAATTGTCACCTCTTACAATGATTTCGATCTATATGTTCTGCATTATAGATTAGCTAACAGGAGACTCCTGTGTTTTCTCAAATTACATAATCAACTAGAGAAGAAAAGTTTAAAAAAAATCAAAATGAAAAGGAACCTCTAAGTGTAGTTGCAGAATAACCTTGCACTGCTGGATTGATAGGTGTTGGTACAACTTCGGTGCTAGCTGTCTCCTACAGTAGCAAACATTTCACAATCCACTTCTTTGTCCCAGCAGGTCCCCACTTAGGAGGGAAAATGAGAGCAGGAATATTATTTTAAATTGGCAGCTACCCAGGGAGCTGCTGGTGCTTAGGAGGAATGGGGTCCAAAGTTACTTTTAGCGGAGATACAAATTCAAAGACTGTTTCTGTACAACTGAGAAAAGTAGAACACAGGGAAAAACATCAAGCCTTCTCAGTGTGCTGTAAGCTAGCAGTGCAGATGGCTCCAGCTCTCTGATGCTGGTCTGACTCCAGAATTGCTGCTTGACCTTGTGTTTGTGGCTAATTTAACCATTTCTGCTTCCTGTTCTTTTTAATCCTAGGGAAAAAAAAAAGTCAGTCCTGTTTGAATGAGTCTTTAGTGAGGTTTATAATCTGTCTTGGCATGATGGCAGTGCAGCAGTATCATCCATTTAAGGCGCTGCTATGTGGAGACAGTGAGAGGTACCGACTGCTCTGCCCCTGTTGCTTCATGCATAGGCAGGATTCTTGGGCAGCAACTATGAATCCTAATCTCCAGTAACCAGGCAAATTGTCAGTAACTGACAGTAGTAGGGCAAAACAATACAAGGGTGAATGATCATCAGAGATGCCTGATTACAAGATTTGTAGGTTGGAGTAGCAACTTTTAAGGTGTTTAGAATATGGTCCAGGATAGAGATCTTTCTGAAATGAGGGTGGAGGCGAGGGCTATCTTTATGTCTGAGTTGAAAGGTAACAGATGTTTCCCCATTTGTTTTGCTTTACATGGGTCTCTTCTTTCTTTATAGCTAAAATAGAAAACTGGATTTATTCTTAATAGACTTTAAACTCTGGGCTGTTAGAAGCAAAAAGTAAAAGCAGTGTAGCACCATCTGCTAGACAGCACTGCACACTGCTCCACCAGCAAACTTTGTAATGGTTGTTCACCCCCAGTGTTGCTGCACTGTGACCAGAAAGAGAAAATGCAGCAGAAACTGAAGCACGTGCATTCTCACGTGCCGAAATCATGAAGTGCAGTGGTTCAGCAACGTAAGCCAGGACAGGCCAGAAGCAGCAAACAAACATTTTGCTTGGCCACGTGGGCAAGCGACCAACCCGCGTACATCTAGGCCCACATACCACCCCCCCCACAAGACAGCTGAAGCCCAAGCACACACAGGAAGAAGCGGCGCTCTAGGAGAAGCAGGGCTTACACTGGGTCCTGGAGAGCAGAGATGCAGGTCAGAGGGCAGTCCCTTCTAATTCTCTTGTTAGAGTCAGAGCTCAAGTGCAATTGCTTTTGCAACACAACCAGCAGGTGCCGTTAATAACAGGAGCTTTATAATGTAAGTGTCCTCAGGCAGATGATCTGCTGACTCTAGGACAGAAGTGGAAAACAGTTTGAGTTACAGAAGCAAGGTGGAGAATTAAGGGGGGGGTGTTTACAGATTTGATTTGAGTTCACTCAACAGCGAACGTCACATTACATTTAGCTTAATCAGATTTCAGGAGTACTGTAAAACACTCATGCTTAATTCTTGTCTGCACATAAAATTATGCTATTACAAAGCAAGATTACTTCCCTAGTGCTGATGCATTAAGGCTGGTACAAGTGCTTAACTTGATAATGCTTATTTCAGCATAGGCTGGGTAATAAGGTATATTAATGTAAGTGCTCTTCTAACAGATAATTAGGCTGTAGAAAGCTGCTTGAGAGAGCAAGCAAGTAGCAACAATGAAGCTGACTCCCTGAAAACGGTGAATAACTTGCCTTAATGCACAGCCATATTGCAGAAATTCAG